TCTGGGAACCAAACCCTGCTCCTCTACAAAAGCAGCCCGTGCTCTTAACCACTGAGCAGTCTCTCCAGTCCCTGTATTATGTATTTTAATCCAGCTAGAGCTGATTTACAGTATATGTGAAGATAGGCACAGGTTATATGCAAGCTATCACACCATTTTATAGATGGACTTGAGCATCTACAGATTTGGATGCACAGAGGGAAGTCTAGGACCAATGCCCCACAGACACCAAGGGAGAATGCATTCTCTCTCTCTCTCTCTTTCTCTCTCTCTCTCTCCCTAACTCTCTCTCCCCCTAACTCTCTCTCCTCTCTCTCCTCTCTTCTCCATAGATAAATGATGATGATGATAGATAGATAGATAGATAGATAGATAGATAGATAGATAGATAGATAGACAGATGATAGATAGATAGATGATGATAGATAGATAGATAGATAGATAGATAGATAGATAGATAGATAGACAGATGATAGGCAGTAGGTAGAATGGGATATCATCAGATCTTCAATATTCCACCACTCAGATGGAAATTCCAGCACATATTACAACATAAACTTTGAGGACATTGTGATAAATGCAAAAACTGGAAACAAAAGAACAAATACTTTATGATTCCAAATATATAGAGGTCTTAGAGCAGACAAACTGACCGGAGCACAAGGAGCACACAGTAGAGTGGAGAGCTGGGAGTACAGCTCAGTGGTAGAGCACTTGCCTAGCGTGTATAAAGCCCTCACTTTGAACCTCCAGCACCACAAAAAACAGAAGTGCTCTCAGCCAGGCATGAGGGCACACACCTGTAATTCTAGCTTTCAGCCTGCTGTGGCAGGAGGATCACCAGTTGTAGTCCTGCCTAGCAATCTCATTTCAAATAAACAAACCAGAAAAAAAAAAAAAAAGTAGAATAGAAGATGCCAGAGACTAGGGGAGAGATGACTGGAAACCTGGAGTTTAATGAATTTTCAGTTTTACCAGATGCAGCAGTGATTGGGGAGAGAGTTACACAGCAGGATGGATGTGCTTTGTACTACTAAAGTCTGTGCTTGCAAATGGCTAAGATGGCAGACTTAATATTGCCTATTTCACTGCAGTATTTTAATGAATGGATAGTATAGAAAAGGAACAGGCGGAGTGAGGAAGCGCCCAGGAATAGCGAATCACTCAGGAAGAGTAGAAACCAGTCTCTTGTAACAGGAAGTGGGGAACTATGCCGCTAGGGCCGGGGGAGAGAGGGGCACCATTATAAGGGGCAGCAGTGCAGCCAGGACCCTAGCAGAAAGCATGGAAGGAAATCCCGTTGATCTGAGATCCTCCAGGTGGGGGTCTGAGATGAGTGGTAGTCAGTGAATAGACCATCTTGTGTCCCTTAAGCTCCTGGTGTTCACAGTTAATGTGTAGACAAGAAACAAAGAAGTAAACTTAGACTAAGAAGAGGCCATCCTCAGGAAGGTCAGGGAAGGACTCTTCAAAAATGGCACATCTGAACTGTAGGCACTGTGTTGGTCACGATTCTCTGGAACAAAAGCAATTGGCTTCTACTTGACAGAAATACAACATAGATCCACTCTCAACAAATTTGTAAGTGCAGTATTGTTAACTCTAGGCATCATGATCCATAGCAGAACTCTAGGCCTGATTCATCTTGAAAAACCCAAACTTCAGAGGATGACAAGATGGCTCCACAGGTAAAGGTGGGAACTACCAAGACTGACTATCTGAGTTCAGTTTCCTGAACTGGCATGGCAGAAAAAGTGAACAGAGCCCTGCAAGTTATCCTCTGATCTCCGTACACACAGCATCATAGTACATGCATGCTTACAGACAGACAGACAGACAGACAGATGACAGATGATAGAGATGTTTTAAAACTTAAAAATTTTTAATCCTTTGACCATCACCTCCCTGAATACTCACCATTCTACTCTCTGTTTCTAGAATTTGACTCTCAGATTCCTCACATAAATGGTACCATGTATATTTGTCCTTCTGTGACTGATGTATTTTACTTAGCATAATGTCCTGTAGATTCATCACTGTTGTTCCTAATAGAAGACTTCCCTTTGTTTTTAAGCATAAATAATATTCCACCGTGTACATGTACTATGTTTTCTATGTTCCTTCAGCTATTCACACATATTGAGGCTGCTTCCATGTTTGGTTGTTGAGGTGCTGCTAAGAACACAAGATCCCAACATCTCCATAGAGCCCAGTGTCTCCCTAGAGCCCAACATCTCCATAGAGACCAGCATCTCTGTAGAGCCCAGCATCCCCATAGAGCACAGCATCTCCACAGAGCATAGCATATCCATATAGCACAGCATATCCATATAGCACAGCATCTCCATACAGCCCAGCATCTCCATAGAGCCTAACATCTCCATAGAGATCAGCATCTCTGTAGAGTCCAGCTCCTCCATAGAGCCCAGCACCTCCACAGAGCACAGCATCTCCATAGAGATTGTATCTCCCTAGAGCCTAGCATCTCTGTAGAGCTCAGCATCTCCATAGAGACCAGCATCTCTTTAGAGCTCAGCATCTCCCTAGAGCCTAGTATCTCCCCAGAGTCTAGCATCTCCAGAGACCAGCATCTCCATAGAGCACAGCATCTCCATACTGCCCAGCTGCTCCATACAGCTCAGTGTCTGTGAAGATCCTGATTTCATTGCTTTTGGTTATATACACAGAAAGATAATTATTGGATTCATAAGGTGATCCCTTTTTCATACTTTGTGGAACTTCCATAATAGTTAATGACTGTAATAATTATAAATGCTTGTAATGACTTCCATTCTTTTTGAATTCTTATTTATTTTTATTTTATGTGTATGAGTGTTTTACCATCCTTCATGTATGTAAGTGCATCATGTGCATGCAATAGCTACAGAGTTCAGGAGGGTGCCCCATCCCCTGGAACTGGAGTTACAGATGGCTGTTAACTTCCATGTGGGTGCTGGGAACTGAATCTGGCTCCTCTGCAAGAGCAATCAATGCTATCAACTGCTGAGCCGTCTCTTAAGCCCCTAACTTACATTTTAAGCAAGAGCTTTTTCCCTATATCATTTTTTCACATTTTATTCGTTTAGTTTGTGTGTATGTGTGTGGGCACCTGTGCTATGGTTTGAATGTGGAGGGCAGAGGGCAGCTAGTGAGAATCAGTTCTCTCTTTCCATTATGTGGATCCTGGAATTGAACTCATGTGGTCAAACTTGGCAATAGATAGTTTTACTTGCTGAGCCATCTGGAAGGCCCTATTTTTTCCTTTTTGTTTAATAGTCATCCTAGCATGAGGAGACATCTCATTGAGGTTTTAATTTGCACTTCCTGATGATCAGCAGTATCAAGAACCCATTGTTGTACCTGTTTGTCATCTAGATGAATTTTTTTGGAGAAATATCTATTCAATTTCTTTCTCAATTTTTTAATTGGGTTCTTTGTTTTGGGATTTTTTTTAAATTGCTTTTTATTGATTCTTTCAGAGTTTCAAAGAATGTCATTGGATCACATTCCTTCCCTCCTCTGCAGAGAGTTGAGAAACGCATTAATCTATAAGTATGACAATAAGTCATTAGAAATCCGTTTAATACTTTATCTGTTTAGCAGAATAGTTGCATTGGGCTTTCTCCCATGGCCTGTGGGCTGTCTAGAATCAGGCTCCTAGGCCTGATATCAGTGTCAGGTATGAAATCCTGACACATTTAAGGTTTATGAAGTAAACCTTAAATCCAATTAGAAAGTAGTTGGTTACTCCTATAATTTGTGCCACTATTGTACCAGTGGGCATATCTTCCAGGCCAGTAGTTGGTGTAGCTTTCAGGAGTCAGTGCTGGGTAAGGCAGATGATTAATTTTCTCTTCAGCTAGCTTGGATAGCACCTCCCAGCACTATGAAAGCTGGCCAGTAAAGATGAGGCTTTGAAGTCAGCGCCAGCTTGATTTCTCCTTGTTTGTTCTACAGCTCATATATGTAGTGTTTTCAACAATAGGGTCTCACTAAGAAATTCTGGTGGGCAATACTTTGAGGGTCTATGGAATACCTGGCCAACAGTTTCAGAAGAGGGAGTCCATTCCTGGCATTGCGCTTTTTCTCTGTTAGCCAATAGTGTCTAGTAGGGACAATGTCCCCTGTTGTAAGATAACTCTTTTTAATCTTTTTTTTTTTTTTTGGTCTTTTTGAGACAGGGTCTCCACCTGTCCTGGAACTCACTATATAGACCAGGCTGGCCTTGAACTCACAGAGATCCACCTGCCTCTGCCTCCCAAGTGCTGGGATTAAAGGCATGAGCCACCACGCCCGGCTAATCTTTTATAATGTACATATATATACTTTAAGTAGTTTCTAGTGAAAGATTTCCATAATGCTTTTTCTAAAGGCCTTTGGTGCTTTAGGTTCTTTTCTTTTTTATTTTTGGTATTGTTATATAATTCCTTATATAATTTAGATATTAATCCTTTATGATATACCTCCCGTTCCTCGGGTTGCCTTTTCACCTTGTTGATTATTTCCCCTGCTGCACAGAAGCCTTCTAGTTTAATGTAATCAGGATTGGTCATTTGGGTATTTATTGCCTGTCACCTCTCAATCATCTTTCTCTTTAGGCCTTCAGCTACTTAGATGATGCTCATCCACATTGTGCAGAATAATCTACTTTGCTCAAAGTCTACTGATTTTTATGCTAATCACATGTATGAGATACTGTCATAGCCACCTTAAGGCTGGTGTTTGACCAAAAACTATACACTTGGCTAGCCAAGTTGACACATGAAATTAATCACACAAAGGCGCCATTTGAGGCCAGCATGTAGCTCCTGGTAGACTGAATATTCTCTTCACACCATGTATTTCTTTCTTTTTCAGAGAAACAAAGGTCCCCACTTTGCTATTGTCACTTGTCAACATGAAGCTCTAATTTGTGGCAGGTGGACTTTTCTTAACTCTTGCCAGAATCTCACCCAAAGGCACCTACCTGCTGAAGGAGACAGTCTTACTAAAGCCGATAGATGATGCAGGGGAACAGGAAGTGCACAGATGGGTTCAGCGATTCCTCCAGCATTGGCAGTGTGCTGGATGATGCAGACAGGGAGGTGAGCAACCTCACGGACAGGGCATTCCGAAGCTTGTGCATCTCAGAGGACACATCCTTCCATGACTCTGATCTGGCTCTGTCTCCCGATATCACTGGCCAGGTATTTGGGACTTTTCACCAGGAAACAGTGAGCCACTCCCACAGGAAAAGTGGCATTTGGAGCCAGCTTCCATCACAAGGCACAGAGCATGCTGGCTGGGCTGCCACCTTCCAACAATTACCCAAGTATGTTCAAGGGGAGGAAAAGTACCCCAAAAGCAGTCCCCCACCGCCAGCCCAGAGGAGATTGGAGGTGCCTGTTTCTGGCCTGAGAAGCAGCAACAAACCCATTTCCAAAGTATCATCACTAATCAGATCCTTTGACAGGACTGAGAACCAACCTTGTGACAGCCGGCCTCCTCCCAGCAAGCCTCCAGTTTTCAAAACTACCCCCAAATTCGCACCTCTCCCAGATAGTAGTGTCAACTTCTGCTTCGATTCTGCCTTTTTGACTGTCAGGAGGGTGCCTGCTGAAGTCTCCACCACCCATCAGAGCAGTCACCAGCCTGGCAGGATTCAGGGAGAGCAAGAGTCTCCAAAGAACCCAGAAATGTCCAGTCACAGCTCAGGCAGCCTCCCCCAGACACCTGACCATGTGGCCAGCTCATTTGAATCAAGGTTCCCCTCCCCACCCCACAAGCCAACCAAGGCTGAGCCCGGAAGAGGCAAGGAGTGGACACCCAAGGGGACTTTTCTGCACAGTGAAAATAGCGCTTTCGAGTCATGGAACACACACCAACCGAAGCTGCTGGAGAGAAAGGACATCACCGAAGCCATCCCAGAAAGCAAAGTTCCCAGACATTATGAAGACACACCCTTGATAAAAGAGCCCTATCCTGCTGAGCACAAAGTCTCGCCTTGCCAGGGCCGGACCATCTGTACCCAGGAAGAGAACAGATCAGCACCAGGGCCCCAGTCCACGTCTAAACCCTGGGGGCTTAAGGATTCAGGAGCCCAGGTATTCCCTGTAGAGGGAAATGTTTCTGTCTCACAGCTTGACCCTCAGGCAAAGCAGAGCCAGCCCCCATGGAGGAAGCCAAAGGTTGGCAAAAGAGGGAAGGATGGTTCACAGGATGCTTTGGAAGATAAGAAACAGACCAACACAAGAGGCCCACCTCTATATTCAAAGCATAACCCTCAGGGACAACTTCCAGAAAATGATGCTCTGGACATGCCAGGGGACCCCAATGACCATTACAGTCCTCCTTTTAACATTAGTAAGCTTCTCACTCCCATCATACCCACCAAGCATGCCCTGGAGTCTTCAGATACCCAGCCGGTAGAGATCAGCCCATCCCCTCCAGCACAGCTAAACGGATACCAGGAGAAGGAGCCCAGTGAGGATCAGACTCAGGACAGCTACAAATCTAAAGTGCCCAGCCTGCTGTTCAACCTCAAGGACGTTAGGAGGTGTGTTAAGAGTACTTACAGTCCTTTGCCTCGCTTGAAAAGCTTTGATGAGAAAACCAGAGTTAAGCTTCATGGCAAGCAAGAACCTGTGAGCAATGGGGTCGTTCTTCCCAATGGGCTTGAGGAAAACCTCCCACCTGAGCTTTTGAAGGAGAGGCCAGCTGATGTTCCTAATGCTTTGCACAGCAGTACCCAGAGGGCTCCTGCTGCCAACCCCAGTGAGCCCCCTGCAGACAGTCACCCAGCCCTCGACTTACCTCCAGCTAACTCTAAAGCCCACTTCTGTGTCAACGGAGAGGCTGCAGAAAAGAGCAGCCATGAGAAGGAAGATGCCAATGGAGAGTCAGAGCTGGATCCTTCCAGCGGTGACTGGCATGCAGATTCCAGGGACTGCCTCCCCCAGAAGCACCTCTCCCTGAAACTCTGCAACAGGGAGTCAGAAACCAGACAGGCTATAGAGCAAATGAAACCTCATGAGCTAGAGAATGGGCTCTCAAGGTCAGTGTCCCAAGAGACAGGGCCCAAGCAAGAAGCAAGGCCTCAGAACCTACCCTTGAACCAGAAGTTCTCCCCAGGACCCATTTCCCCTGAGGAGGAGGACGTGTTTTACAGTGACACTCAGTCTGATTTTACTCCATGCCTCCAAACTAAGGCTAAATTCAGTACCAGCTCTTCAGATCAATCCTTTGCCTCTTTTGATGATCAGCAAAAGACATGGTTTATAGAAGGCCCTCAGGAAGGCCCTCAGGATGACAGGAAGAATGATGTGCATGCAGGTGACAATAAGAAGGACAGGAAGGAGAATGTGATGGAGAAAACCAAATCACAGTCCTGTGCCTTAAGTAACAGGCATAGGTGTGTGGAGGAACACAGACAGGAAGAATTGCTGGAAAGAGAAGCCGAAGGTTCACTGGGAGGGAGACCTAGGAAGGCATCAATAGAGGAGGCCCATTTCAGAGGCTCTAGGATGGGGGCAGATAAGGATTTAGCTTTTTCACATGCCAAAGACTCCACTCCCTCACCAGCTTCTACAAACAAGCACAGATTGTTCCCAATTAAAGATAACACCCTCAGGGCCACCCCGGTGATAAAACCTATCATTCTGCCTCTTCTGAGGACAGTGTCAGAGGATTCACTCAGTGGTGGACACAAAGAGAACGAATTACCAAAGAAAGGATGGGTTGAGGATGCTGGTGGCCTCTGTGCTCTGGAAAGCCAGGAAATGCCTGGCACCCTACCATCCAGTGCCATGCAAGGAACACACAAAAAGTGTGTGGTATATGAGGATGCAGAGGACCCAGTATACAGGGCAGCCCAGGCTGAATCCACTCAACACGCATGGAAAGGGAGTTTCTCGTCTATACCACTGGTGGGAGAGGGGGACAGGATGAACCCACCCCCAGATGCAGCTCATGAAGTTTTAACCAGTTATAGGAAGAGTGGGTCTGTGGACTCAGGGAAGCTGACTGGTACACGACACATCCCCACAATTGCTTTACCCCCAGATGACTTAGCACAGACACCCTCCCTGCCACTCTGCACCTCTTTGGAAGAGCAAGGTTTCCAGAGCCACTTTCTGTCTGCACCCAGGGCAGGACCTCAAGGAAGAAGACTGGTCCCCAGTGGGACAGCGACTTCCCCCAACCCCAGCTCCCTAGGAGACAGCAGCACATGCTCCCCTGCAGCCAGTAGCTTTTGGGATGATGCTTCCCATGCTGCTGGGGAACAGGGGCTATGCCAAGAGGCTTCTGGCTCCAGGGCCTGGGCCAGCCCGGGCCCAGCTAGGCTCACCCGGAGAGAGGACTTGACACATAGCCTCACATGGGAGGCTGACAGCTCAGATCCCCAACTAGAGCCATCTGCAGAAGATCTCAGGACCCTCTCTCCTAGAGGCACATTGTTGGACATGGTCACCAGCTCGACAAACGCTCTAGAGAAACCAGAGCCCCCTGCATTGCTGGAGAGGGCGGCAGGCAAGCCCCCTGCAGTCCCACCCAAGACAGAGAAGGCCCTGCGGCGGGCAAAGAAGCTAGCAAGCAAGAGGAGGAAGAGCGACCAGGCTCAGGAGAAGCAAGCCGAGTCCTGGGAGGGCAAGCCTTGCACCGAGGACACTCAGGGGACAGAGCAAAAGCTGGTGTCCCCTGGAGAGAAGCCCCAGTCCAGGTTCCCTGCCATCCGCTCCCTGCCCCCTCCAGTGCATCGCCACTCAGTGTCCTGTGGCTGGGAGCCCATGGGGAGACGGCCTTGGGGACCCCAGACCCTCACACCCGTGCCCCCTTACCCTGCCACTCAGAAGGTGCTCCAAGATCCCCAGTCGGGACAGTACTTTGTCTTCGATATGCCTCTCCAAGTGAAAATCAAGACCTTCTACGATCCTGAGACTGGCAAGTATGTGAAGGTCTCAGTCCCATCCTCAGAGGAGGCCTCCTCAGAGCCACCTCTGCAGGATGCCCTGGCTGCTCCCTATCTGCTATACCCTGGCTTCCGGCCAGTGCCAGTGACCTCCTTGATGCCCCTGCGCTGCTCATCCCAGCTGGCAGCCCCCACCTTTCTCAGACAAGGATCTTGCCACAGGCCCCAGAGCACCCAGGGCACTGAACTGCATGCTGCTCCTGGACCTCAGGGCCAGTCTAGCCAGGGCGCTGCTGCCCAGCATCCCTATGATCCTCCCCAGAGCCCCGAGGAGGAGGGTGCAGGAGCTCCAGGACTGAGCATCATCTCCACTGATGACCTGGAGGACTTTGCCACTGAAGGTGTTTCTTGAGAAGTGCAACTGACTGAACTCCCCACCCCTGCAAAAAAATGCTTGCAGACTCTCTCCCCCAAGAATCACATTTGCTCGTCCCCCCCGCCCCTCCACACACATGCACATTCAACTCATACTTAGCCATTTGAGAGTCCTATAGTACAAAGGAAGTGGGAATCCTTGTGAGCTTCCTAGGACCCAGACCTGTCATGTACCTTCACAGTTCTGCCCCTCTCCCCTCTTCCCTAGCCATCCCTGCTCTCCTGCTCTCCTCTGACTCTGCACTAGGGTGGATATGGCATTGGGACATCAGCTTTCCTAAGAGTGGCTGGGCTCAGGGCACCCCACACCCTCCTTCTCAAGGGTGAGCTTCCTCAGTGAAGTTCCCAGAAATGCTGATCCCTGTAGTGGGTGGAGAGCACCCATCAGGCAGACCCCCACCACACCCAACCTGGGGTAAAGCATGGCATATAGCAGTGGAATTTCCAATCACCTCAGGTGGCACTGACTAAGGACAGACCCAAGGCAATAATGTGGAAGTAATTATTTGCTTAGAGTTGGTTTTCCTCATGCTAGGGACTGTTTTCTGAAGATGATTTTCTGATAAAGAAAAGGCTACTGTTTAAAATGTGGAACAAGTTTGCCAGTGTGGTCCTGTTCCTGACTCCTCTCTTCCATCTATGATGGTGTGGGTCCTCAGCCATATGCCCTACGGCTATCCCCCCCAACAGAGCTGTTTCCTGAATCTATGACCGGGACCTCCCTCCTCCTGCAGCACCTGCCCATTCTCCATTCAGGCCCTCCGCTCATGCTGGAGGAGGTGAATGAGGATGATCAAGAGAGATAGTCTGGGGAAACTGAGTCAGACCCTTCATGCCCCAATTAGTGACTGGTTCCTGTCCCCTGCACTCAAAAGGAAAGTGTATTTCCTTAGTCCCTGACCTTTGAAGATTTGGAGGAAAGGATCTAAATCTACCAAGGGAGCCAAGGATGGCAACCAGCCCTACTGTGAGGGTCAGAGAGAAGCATCCACTGGGCAGCCATGCTGTGGGTAAAATCCACCATCTTTGTTCTGCTCACAGAGGTTCCATTTCCATACTGGAGGTGCATGACTCAACATGTCCAATCACAGGCTTTGGGCAATATTCTGGGTTGGGATTTAGATTCAGGATTTTGAATCTATTTTCCTAGCAAATGCAGCTATACCTAAATTCCATAATGAAAATGTCCCACAGACCTGCACCCCCTTCACACCATGTGATTTGACGGTACCTGTCAGTCAGATAATTAACTGGTCAGGAGTGCAGGTCACAGGCCCAAAAATCCGGTTCCTCCAAGTCACTGAAGTACAGCGACAAGATGGAAGTTATGTTTGAGTGATGATCCCCTCCACGGTCCTCCCCACTACAGTTCAACTGACTAGACTATAAAAATTACCTCATCTTGAAAGTCTCAAGGCCCTTAAAAAGGAGCTGCCTAACCAAGAAGAATCCCTAGACTCAGTAGTAACCGTAGTTAAGGTAACTGTGTCCCCACAAGGAAAAATAGTTTGGGCAACTTGTTTGAGGAAAGTAGTCTTGGGGGCAATGTTGGCAAAGCTATAGATAGAGACAAGAAGCTCAAAAAGAGGCTTTGGGAGGTCAAAGTCAACTCCCTGCAAATGCAAAAGAGGAGCAGGGCTCAGGCAGCTGGCAGTGTCCGCTCACAGCAGGGACTCCCCAGGCTCCTGGCCCCCAGCAAGCCAGCTCTCTGTCACAGCAAAGCAGCTAGGGTCCTACATTCAGAGGATGCCTCGGAGGACGAAAGGTAAGTCGCCAGTCTCTGGGGACCAACTCACTGACTGGAGCTATTTCACTTTCTCCTTGAGGAACGAGGGCCATTTATGCTTCCAAGCTCTTTTCTTCACCTCTTCCCTTCCTTCCACTTTTCCTCCTCTGCCCCTTCCTTTCTTCATCCTTCCCTCTTTCCTTTCTTCTTATTCCCTTTTTTATTTCTGTCTTCTTTCCTTCCTCTTTTCCTTCCCTCTCTCGATCTCTTCTTCCTTCCTCCTCAGTCTCTCCCCCTTCCTCTTCTCTTCCCGTTATCTTCTTATTTATTTATGTTCCTTCCTCCCTCCCTTCCTCTCTCCTTTTTACAAACCTTTGCACTGTGCTAGACACTTCAGTTGGACACTGAAGGTACCATGATAATAAGATCTGGTCTCTGTATGCTAGGAGATCCAATATAACAGAGAAGTAAGGCAATAACCATCCCGTATGTTCGGTAATTTAGCAGGTAGCTCTGAGGACCACCTAATTCATCCCTGAAGGAAAGGGGCTTCCTTGGGCAGATGGCACCTGAGCCAAGTCAAGAAATTCAAGGTATTGCATTCACCCTTGAAGAAAGCAGGCCTTCCCCAGGTTTTATCTGTCAAAGCTGACACTGATCAAATACTAAGAGAGTTATCATACCACATCAAAGTACATTGACTTAGCTAATTACTCATTAACATTTCTAACCAGTGCAAGAGCTGAAAATGTAGCCTCACAGGATAGACTTATTGATAGGTCCTTCAGCTTTTGAACTGATATTTCACTCATCTGGTTCCTCAGAAATACCCCTACTTCTGCCGCTGTATATAATAAGAAAGTGGTAAGATACATGAACACATGCACTTTGTGGGAAATGTAGATGTTGCCCACATCTTCTATTTAGTAGGCTGGCCCTCTTCTATGAGCGGGAGCCTTTCTAAGTGTCTCCTGAGAGGGGACCTAAATGTGAAGCACTTCAAGGGAACCATTGAAGACTCTGGGGCTTTTTTAGCTAGAAATGGCCAAAAGTTTACAAAGTGGAATGTGTTCTATCCTCTGAGCCTGGTCTCAGTTCCACACGAGGTACCTCTTTGTCTTCATTTTACAGTAATGGCAACAGTCACACGGGCACTGGGAAAGGCCTGAACCTCTCTCACATCTGGGTGAACATTCCTATTATCTGATGCTTCTGTAAGTGCAGCCACAAACTAGCCAGTACCGCCTCAACCAAGGAGCTGGCCAGAACCTTGGCTTTCCAATCTTCCCAGGTATTTTCCCAGGGTCACCTAGGTGATGACGGCTCATCTTCACACTGAGTTCTGAGAAGTGTTATCACCTCTGCTGATCCTGGACAGACTAGGGGCTGGAAGGGGTACCTTCCTGTCTCTGTTGCATTGTCATATGCACAGGAAGGACAGCCTACCTGCCTCCTCCCTGGTAAAGTGTCAGGGAGTCAGTTTGCACTCAGTGGGAAAAGCAGTCTCTAACAATCTAAGCTGCTTCCATGTAACATGGGCAGCTAGGATCGTTGACTCGTCATGTCTGGGATGCACCATGAAAGCTAAGAACTCCTTTACTAGGACAAGGATAGATTCAGGTAGCATAAGGAATCTGACTTACAGCTTTCCATAACCCAGACTATGTGTAAGTGATGACAAGAAGCCAAAATCTAAACAGGGACTGGCCTCATGCTTACAATGGGGGGACTCACTTGTGCATAAAGGAAGAGATCTAGGGGAAAATATCAATTGTATGTGTGTAGAAAACATTTCAGCCCAGACAGCATCGTGATGTTGGACAACACTGTGTAGATCTTCCACAACATTAGGTATAAAATGAACCTGAGCAGATAATGTTGAGTTTGTGACCAGAACATGTCACTGTTGAACACCATGGAGTCTTCCTCAGTGTCACCACTGCAGAGCTCTCTGAGCAGAGACTCCTCCCTTCATTCCTCTAGATGTCTGGCCTCATTGTCAGGAAGGAGGGCTTCCCCTCTTAGGGTTCTGACCAACACAAGTGGATACCTGAAGATGAAGGAGCTATGTTGACCTTCACCTCCAAGCAGGGAGCCAACCATCCCATATGTATATCAGTCCATTTTGTGTGGCCTTAAGAAAAGGCCTGAGGCTGCATACTTTACAAAGGAAATAGTTTTATTTTGTTCACAATTCTGGTGGCTGGGGTTTCGGATAACATTTTGATGAGGGTCCCACGGCTAACTAATAACGTGGTGGAGAAACAGGAAGGGAACCTGGAACTGGCTATGTGCAGAAGGGGTACACGTATGAGGCAAGATGTATTAGTTACTTTCTTGTTGCTATAACAAAATATCTGACGAAAGCAACTTACGGAAGGGTTTATTTTGGCTCACAGTTTGAAGGTACAGTTCATCATGGCAGAGAGGGAAGGTGTGGTGGCAAGATTGTAAGGCAGATGGTCACATTGCGTCTGCAATCAGGAAGCAGAGAAAGATGAAAGCTGGTGCTCAGAGCGCTTCCTCCTTTTAATTCCATCTAGGACCCTAGTGTCACCCACACTCAGGGTAGGTCTTCCCTGCTCAGTTAAACCTTTCTAGGAAAACCCTTATAGACACACCCAGAGATGTATTTCCAAAGTGATTTTTAAATTCCATTAAGCTGACAAGATTAACCATCACATAAGAGACGAGAAGGAGCCAGACTCACCCTCCTATAAAACTATTCAGGAGAAAACTAATACACTCCTTCAAGACTCAACCCACTGCTGGAGACAAGCATTAAGTCCTTCATGGGGATGCTATACTGGTGACCTAATCATCCACTATTAGGTCCACTTTTGGAAGCTCCCACCATTTCAATACCACAATAAGGCCCAAACTCCCAGCACATGAACCTTTGTGGGGCAGACAACATGCAGACTAATGCACCAGTTCTCTTTTGCTAAAATGTAGTTCACCTTGCAATTCTTTGCACTATCCTAATACATCTCTCAGCTTCGCTGGGCAGTACTACACTGACCCTGTTTTTCCAGATCCTTCCACATCTTTGGACCTCCTAGATCTGAGCCCTGACCCCCATCTCTTGTGTGCATATTTCCTGCATGTTATAACACTTCTATCCCCTTCACAAGAATGTTCCTGTAATGGCACCCATCTACCTGCCTTCTTCCCTTTATGCTTATGTCATGTTCCCTCTGAATCTGGAAAGTTTAGGCCAATTAACTTCTTTCCCATTTATAAACTTTAGA